AGCACAGATAGTCCATTGTGTCGCTTTGTGCTTAATTAGAAACAAACCATGTGAAAAACAAGACAACGAATTCTCGTGGAACAGTGAGCCAGTGTTTAAACCATTGAGATACAACGTATTTGTTGACTATTACTGTCTTACATTTCAAAGAAACACACTCTACAACTAACCAAACTGGTGTCGTATATTTTATTCACAACTATTTAATATCTGCTGTCTAATATGAGCAACGATAGTTAACAAAAAAATAAAAATAAAACAATCACAGTTACTTCTTGAAATGAACATACTTTGAAACAAACAGTCTATTGTGATAACGGTGGAATTCCATTTGTGTTCAGAAAGATAAACAAACATGGTGGTCGACGTTATGCTGCCTAAGTATTACGGAAGTGTTCAATCTCTTACTTTGATATGACGTATTTATATCAAGCATTATCTATTCTGTTCAAAGAGGACTAAATAAAAAAAAATCCATACCAGACGTTTAAAAAAAGTCCAATACAAGCCATTCATTTTTTTACGCAAAAGAAATTTATAAATAAGAAACACTTTCGTGGTGCTGAAACAAAATCAATTCGTTGTAACTTAACTTCTCATTTGATTTAATCTTAAATTATTACGCTGATGGGAACTAATACTTAGAAAAATCTACAATTTACAGCGCGAGTCAAAATTAGGCATCCATAAGAAACATTTACTGATTAGTATATTAGACACTTCAACTATATACAAATGTTCAATTTGTTTCATAAAGGTATGTTACATTAAATTAGTCAGCTACATAGCTATATATATATATATATATATATATTTATTTATTTATATACTTAAGCTACCTACAACAAAAGTATTAGACTGTCTTAATGATTTATGATTTATCATTCACACACTGTACTTTCAATAAAAAAAACTTTTTTTCCTGTTTATTTAGTAGTATCCATTGCGATATACTCGTGTTGGACTTGTAGTTTTATGTAGTTCTCTGGTGGTGCAGAGAACTATTTTTCTTTTTCCAGTTTGTGGAGTTTCACGATTAAAAGTGCTACCGGTAGGGTGGGAACCGCGTTCTTACATACACGAAATGGTCTTCAAGTATAGACATGTGACAAGTCATGACAGCGTGTTTTGAAGAAATGTTTACACAGTAGCACACATTAGAATGAAATGTAGAAGTAGTATAATTAGTTTCTACCCCTGATCAAAACACGCGAGATGAGAAGTAGGAAGAAAAGATAAAAGACAATATATTTACACGAAATATAAAATAGTACAACCACTACAATTATCGTAAATTTCACGAATATTCTAAAAGACGACCGAAAGCGTGGGTTATGGAACCTGAATATCATAAATCGTAAAATAACGTTTCAATTATGTTTACATACAGAATAAATACTTAAAAAAAACACCAATCTGCCAAGGATTTGAGTAAGGGTTAAAAGAAATACTGTTATGCACACAGACAAACACAAGAGAAAACTCCAATACACATAAAATAGTTTTAGATACGCGAATGTGCAACACACTTAACAGGTAATTCTAGGTCTAGTAGTCATTTGTTCTTAACTCAAACACACTGGTAAAATGTAAGGTTTATGAAGTGTGTTACTATGACCCATTTTAATTTCAAAAATACGAATCTTTCATACGAAATTGACACCGCTACTTTGTTATCAATAGAGTCAGTGATTCTCATTCATCTAAAAACGATTAAATAATAGCCTTTTCTGTTTCAATTTAATCAATTATAAACATTACGAGTTAGGATTAAATGTAAAAAACTCAACGCAAAGACTGCTTTACAACAAGACACCTTCAGATCACCAAGAGAGTACAATCCTGAGCACAAACATTTCAACCTAAAACCACGTTTTTAAAACATTGGTCCTTGATTAATATAATTAAATACCTGTAAAATAACAAAAGCTCCAGGCCTCAAACTTTCTCTTGTATACGATGCAAGAAATAGGATAAGCTGTCTAAAGCTTTATAAACGGTATCTTATAGAACGAAACTAAGGTGAACTAAAATAATGGCAACACATTAACAGTGGAGAAATGTATTAAGTAGGCAAAATACCTTTCGCTAGCATTAGGGATTGTTGAAGCAACATAAGAACTGATATGTTCTCAAGAAGAGTTTATTGAAGACCGTTTTGAGAAGGAAGTTTGCTCTCTCTATATACAATCACACGCTTAACCTTCACGTTCCTACAACATATTCCAAGTGTGGATTATTGCCATTTTACCGAGTCTTGATTAGTCGCTTTGGGAAAGTACTGAAAGAGGAAAGAATGCCGATAATTATAGTGCTGAACATCGGTACAAGACACGCCTACAGGTCAAGGCACAGAGAACAAACCTATCTCTACATTTCACAAACAACCTTCCATGATATACAGTTAAAATACACCAAAAATTCACATGCTTTCTGACATTAAAATACAAATTTAGTTACATATCTGCTATAACATAATCCATGTTTAATGTTAACTTAGGCAATCACTCATAAATACGACTCGTTTCTTCAGCGTCATTTTCACGTATCAAACAGTCCAATGCGTATGTTCGTTTTTAGACAAAGACATTTTTTCAAAACTTCCATCCAATAAACAAGGCTTGATTTTTGAATTACGATACTTTTGTGGCAGTTTGTCTTATCATATTACAGAGAAAGTTAGATGATGTTACATTCACTCATAATAAACGCACGCAACACCATCTAGCCAAAGTTACAGAGATGAATCGCTTTTAACAGACTTGATATAAAAAAATACAAAAAAAACAGAGAAAAAGTTTTAACAAGGTGATTAATAATGTGTACAAGTTTGCATACACTGGTCGCAGACAAAAGCGAACTAAAAAAAAGGGATTATTTAATGAGCAAGCAACAATATAACGAACAGATAAACAAGTCGCCATAATCACTGTATCCAATTTCCTCATAACTGTTACTTATGAACGTTTAACACACTCTTTACACACATATATATATATACTGATCAAAAGTTCACGACTTCACTGATAGAGAGCACTTTTAATTTTCAAAATATTGGTACTGCATAGCACGTGTTTGTGACACAGAACTACATAACACGCGTTTCTGAAACACTTTTGGTGTGAATGATAGTTCAACAGTTAAATTTTTACCACTAATGAAAACATTACAATGAAGATTTTTGGAGCAGACTGACGAATTTCCAACTTCTAGGATAAATGAAATAGGGCTTATTACTCCAGACGATAGAGTTTACTTAAGCCAACATTTTGCCATTACAGTTTCATTAGGCCTAAATAAAGAACACAGACATGAGAAAGTCATAACATCATTTTGCTCAGGGCTAAAAGGATATGTAAAGTTCCGAGACACACAACGGTTTTCGGTCCCAGTGAAGTCTTCAGAGCAAAACAGTGGCTCATATAAACAGTTTTCTACAGGTTCCTATCAATAAATATTAAAAAAAAAATTCATCTATTTTCCCAAGAAATCTTCTCATACTAAGTACAATTTCTCTTAAATGGGCCTGTCTACTGCTTGAAGTTAAAATTATTTGAAACTTACAAAAGAACCAACAAAAAAACACAAAATATTTCCTGTAATATACATATAAAACCATACTCACACTAAACTTAATTCTGGCTTCACATTTTATATTGCAGTAAAAGAAACCACGAAATATGTACAGGTCAAATACAGGTCAAAAGAGAAATTAAAGGGCGAACTGTGCATAAAAAAGGTGCTATGACATATATAAGCTGAAATCTCCCCCCAAGACAAAGGTAAAGGATAGGCATCAAATAGAAAGTGCCCTCAATGTCCTATTATCATTACGTAAAGCCAATGGAAGTAAGTAATATGGCTCAAAGTTCTAACTGGACGACTCCACCTGTACTGCCAACCCTATGAGAATTTGTATTCCCACCCACAAAGTTAAGATAATTTGAATTGAGTGAGATAAAATTTCGAAACCTGAATTTTCTTTATTATGAAAGGAAATGCAAATGTTGCTATACATATTAGGAATTCATCCACTAACCCCTGTCACAAAAACTAGTACAGACACTGTAGCACAAGGTTAAGTTAAATACACAGATATAATACATCCACATATTTGTTTATAAGGGCAAAAACAACAATGGGCTGGATCTGATAGAGCCACATTAGTAAACATTCAATTCTTAAATACTCTTAACCATAAAACGTACAACAGAGTTTACCTTATGACCAGCATTAACTCACAATGAAAGTTAAATGGGATTCAATGTAGCTTTAGCCTAGAAATATGCACTTAACTGTCTCATTGCGAGGCAAGTGTGTCCAAACCACAAATTTACCTTGGAGGGGGGGGGGGACAACGACACACATCAATTTTTAAACTACAAAATATATTTGTTTGTGACACTATGTTAACAACTGTTCACAGATGAAAGGAACCATGACTGACTCAACACACACACACACATCTAATTTTCTTTGAGAATAAAGAGTAATATTGTACCAAACCCTGAATGAATAATTGTATAGCTTTGCTCTCTACTTTTATTAAATACCCGACATTTTGTATCTTACACTTCTCCTGGATTATCAATATATCTTTACAATACTATTTTCTAAGGATAAAAATGACACCTGTGTTAACATGACAAGTATTAGTTGAACTCCATTCTCAAAAGCACTTTAAGGGATCTAATTCACGTAGTAGAGATCTTTTAGGCTGGTTCTCATGGACAATGTGTAAATCACAAATTTAAAGCGTACATACGACAGTTCTCAGCTGAAGTTGTAGTAACTATAAGTAAGTTTGTCAGCTTTTCTCACCACCATTTCACTAATGAGCAAAAGTTACGACTAGATGACCATGTATCCCACTTTCTTATGCTGGAATTCATGAGTAAATCAAGAAACTAATCATACACATATCATGATATATAAATGAGAGTTGATATACGTTTTTATACATATTGACCACACTGCTCACCTCTGGACCATATTTACCAAGTCCCTCACCGTGTTTTGTAATTCTTCAAAAAGTCTGGAACTGAACGCACTGTTATTACTGCTACATGTGCGCAACTGTTCACCCTGTCGTTCTAACTTTGTTAACAATTCTCGAAAGCGAAATCTCCCATGTGGAGGGATACTTTCTGCATAGTTGCCACAAGAAGTTCGAAAAAGTTGCACTTTATCCGACAGCTGCATTACGTTTCCACTGCTTAGAGATGTAGCTGTTTTCAGTAACTGAATACTATTTTCAAGTGCTGTAGAAATTTCCAATATAGTTTCTTTGCTGCTTATGCTATCGTGTGTTTCGTCATCAGCCTGCGATGATGGAGACCCCCCTATACCTCCTCGAGGAAAAACCTGGGGCTTATTACTTGTTTTAGAGGGTCTGGTACCTGGAGGCAAAACAGCTCGAGATCCTTTTACTGGTGGTTTCAATGGAACTGCTGGTTTAGGAATCGCTGGGGATAACTGTCCTCCTGTTTCTTTATTTTGAGGGGAAGTTTTTAAATGACTCTGTTGATCTTCTTGATTAGTTAGTTCTTCTGTTTGTTCACCTATTAATGATGCTTGAGACAATGCTTTTGACGTAGTACTTTCTTTAACATAGGTTGGCGATGCTTTCTGTACAGGTTCAGTTTCATAGTTTCCACTTTTAAAAGTATCATCTCCAAGCTCCAAAGTCTGTGTTCTTTCTATTTTCAGTGATTCTGGTCGACGTGCCACAACTTTTGGACTGTCAATGCATGAACCATCAGCATTTAGCTCCGACTCCTGTTTTGAGCTCTCTTTCTCCCAGATTTTCTTCAAACTTGTTATACTTCCACAACTATGTCTTCTTTCTTCTTCTTCACATCTATCTGGTTGGCAGATTTCTACCAAATCTCTATCAGGAGGTTTGCTTTTGAGTTTTGGTATAACTAAATTTTTTTGGCCAAGATCTCCACTGACACTTTTTTCTATATTATCTTGAGTCTTCTTTTTGAGTCTATTGCTGGGCACATAAAACTGTGACTGTGATTCTCCAGTTGTTTTTTCCCTATTTGAGCTGGCTTCAAATATTGAGCTGATTCTTTTGGAAAGCTCATTTCCTTGTTGATAGCCTAACTTAGAGCAATTTACAGATTCAGATTTTACAGGTAAGTCTACAGAAGGAATTTGCTTTTTAGGAGACAGTGCAACAGCTGACTGATCTTTTGATATTTCTGCAGAGCTTCCTACTTCTTCAGTGGTTTGAGAAGAAGCATCTCCCATCTCTACAGCTCTTCTTCTGGCTTTCATTTTAAGACTCTCAAAGAGTTCTGAGACTAGCTGAGCTGCTGGGTTCTTGGCAGTTTGATTATTATGTGATGCCTTGGCAACTAAAGGAGCTTTAACTTCAATCACAGTCTGCTGTTCAGAGCAAGATTCCAGAGAATCTTTTACAAAATCAGGAGGAGGAGGAAAACCTTCTGGGCAAGGAGGTGGTGGAGGGGGAGATACAATATTCCATGATGACTTTGGACTCCCCGATGGGACTTTGACTTTTCCAGGAGGAAGTGGGCTGTCTACACTAGCACTCCAAGTTAGTGGAGTCACAGTGTGTGCACTTTCTGATGGACTCTGATCAAAAATCCTCTCAGGTTTCCATCCTAACTGATCATCAATTGAACCACTTTTTACAAGTGGGCTCTTTGGAGGACTTGGAGGTCTTTCTTTTGGTCTTTTAGTGAGTGTCCTTCGAAAGACATTAGAACTAAAAGGAGATGAGAATGACTGAGAATCAACATTTCTGGATTCTGAAATAATATTATTCCGGGGGTAACTACTACCAGAATAATCTCGAAAACTGGTTTCACCACCAGCATTTGAAGCACTGTTAGTACCAACATCGTGAATATTTCTTATCTCCTGGGGTATGCAAGGTGGTCCTTCAATTCTTCCATCACGAGAGGATTTTCGATCCACCCTCTGACTTCTAGGAAGTCTAGGAGATGGAATAGGCTTTGAACTAAGGTGTCTAGAGTCTGGAATAGATCCTGTTTCAAATGTGTCATTGTTCTTGGAGTACGTGAGATCTGACTTTTGCCTTTGTAGAAAGGCATGAGGTGAATGATGAACCCCATCATATTCGTGTCTATGCCGACTTGGAGGAGGATATCTAGAAGAGAAATGGCTTCCAGTTTCTCCTTTATGAGTATTATTTATGTTGCTAAAATTCTGTTTCTGGGAAAGTGGATCTAAAGCTGCACTTTCCCATCCTATGTCACTAAAAGCTTGTGGTTCACTTTCAACAACAGGCTCAGGATACTTAGCTCCAGTATGGAGACCATGCTCCCTGAGTGAATCTAAATATGCACCAATTCTTGCTCCCTTGGGAAGTGTCCCATATCGATTAATGGCTCGTTTCACATTTTGAACTTCTAGAGCTGCAACTTGTACTTTCTTGGGTTCTCTTGCTTTATTTGAAGAACTGTTTTCTTTTGTATTATTATGTTGCTGAATATTAGGAGGGTAGGTCCTTGCTTTTTTCAATTTTTGCTGAGAATGTTGCTGGTTTAGCGACATTGCTGGAACACTAGCAACTGAAGCTGCTGTATGAGTATCAGATTCCTCAGTATCAGGAGTTCTCTCTCTTATTTCACATTCCCCTTCTTCATTGCTGTTCATCTCCTGAGCTTTCCTGTTACTAGTCTCAAAGGCTCTCTCACCACCATTATTGAGAATATTTTTATTAGTTTCCTGTCCGATTGTTCCATACATTTTGTCTTGATAGACACTATCCCGAAAAGTGCTGGTCCTCTTTGGTGGTACAGGTGCCTGTTTACTTCGAGGGCCATGTCTTCGAAGTTGAACCAAAGTAGATCTAGTGGAGATAATGGTCTGGTGTTTGGTTGAACCTCCACTATGACAACCTAACAGAAAAAGGTAATTAACTAAATTTGAATAATATAATGCACAGTCTTAAAATAAGTTAATTCCATTTTTTTTTAAATGAAGCTTTCTTTTTTATCTGGAGGTATCTAAGTATGTGTATGAATGTATTAAAATTCAAAAAAATAAATGACATTACCAGCCCATTCTTGTTCATGAGAAACAACCATGTAACATTATGTGTTTCTGAAACTCGGTAGTTTGAGACTATTGGAGTTAGAAATTTTCATGATTATTTATGTGCGCATACATTTAGACAACAAAACTTTCAGTTTGTTCGAAGCTTGTTTTGTTAATTTTTACCCCCTGATAACTAAAAATACTTAGACATTTGGAAAGTTAAAACTCTAAAGTATTTAATTTAATTATACTTTCACAGCAAGACATTCTTTAGGCAGTAAGTTTCATTAACTCGTAGCCACACTACTATTACCATATCACGTATACATGGGAATAAATTATTGTTTTTTTTTTGTAAAAGAACTTTTACATAATAAATCTAAACAAATTATATATGTGAAATGATGCTTTTAACTATTTTTTTTTAAAGCATCATACCAACTCTTAACCTGGTCATGTTTCTAATTTTGATATCTATCAATTTCAAGTACAACATTCACACTGCATACAAAATTATCACCAGTGTATTTTGTAGTTCTAAAATACTTAAGTAACTTACCATTCCTTTTAAACACTCAGCATATCACATGAAAATAAAACTTAAGTATTCTAATTGCTACAGTTCAAACAAAATACTATGTAACTGGCTATGGCCTTAAACTAATCCAGGGCTTTTTAATAAAATTTTAAAATGACCACAAGTGACAAAAATTAACTTATTAACAATATTTTGGGGCAAAGACAGTTTCCTGAATGTTTTGAACAGATACCTTGTTCAGTTAGTGGATAATCTCCTTCTTCATCACGCTGAAAAATATTTGGCGAACTCTCTCCATAGGACCTGTACGGTGCAGGAGTCTGCCTTTCTAGCTGCTTCTCCACTTCTGTTGGTTGTTTATGCAAGTTGTAATAATGAAGATTAATTATTAATTTTGTTTTATATAACATAAAACAAATCAAGTCTACAATGTCATATACTTATACTAAAGCTTTAAGCACAATATTACCTCGGGATGACATCAAGTAAATGAAAAAGTCTGAAATATATTGAGTCCAATGTTAGTGTCTAACATGCTAGGGATGCATGCTCCCCTTTGAAAAATTTTAAAATTATAAGGTCTATGGTGTTTTCTCCAGTTTTTTTTTTGTGCTTTTATTTTTATTCATATGTTTTCACAGATATGGTGCCTTTAAGTTTTACAGAAAATTAGCCAAATTCGATATTAGGATGCTGGGAGTCCAGGTAAGGTTCACATTCAAATTCAAAGAAAATGGATCTTAAACTTTCCTAGACATCCAGATTACCAAAGAAAGTAAACATTTTTCTACCTCTGTTTATTGTAAAAGGACTTTTATAGGCCTATATATTAATTTTAACAGCTTTATCCACAACCTCTTCAAATGAAACTTACTCGTGTCACTGTTAAAAAGAATTTTCAATCTCTACCCAAATTACTCTATTATACTTTTGCACAAACACTTGTTAAACAATGACTATCCAACCAACTTTCTAACAACAAATTACAGTCACCAACACTTTGCACACCGTCCCTATATTTCTCCTCATTACCTGTCTTCCTTTTATAGGCTCACAAACCTCACAAATTAAAAAAATTCTTCTTCTTCATACAAAACAACAACTTCTACACTAAGATTCAGCTCAGACTGATACTATATATATA